ATCAAATTTCGCGGTAGTACCGATCTTAGACGGATTGGCGATTAAAAGTATAATTAATAGCGTCTACGATAAATCTGAAGTAATGATTGTTAGAGATGAAATTTTATCAGTACAGTATATACTGATTTTCCAATACATTTAATACATTTTATTCCTACTCGCTTTCAGATATTGAATTTCTTAATTGTAACACTAAAGTGTATGATGATGTATTATCTGGAACAACCAATTAAAGAATTAGAACTTCTTATTAAAACAAAATATAACAATTATGGAATTGTTAAATTAATTCAAATTCAAAAAGAAAATTATTTATAAGTTTCGTCTACCAGATAATTATAGGCGCAGATACAATACAATACAATATTTTAAGATAACAAAACAACTTACCACAAGAATTCTTTCATCTTTTATTAATTTGAGAATATATTAGAATTGTATAATAGTAATCATGGAATATGTAGTTGTTTAAAAGATATAACTTTACCTTACAAATTTTATATTACTATTTTATTGTTGCGTCTGATTATGTTTTAAGTATAAATATGAAACAAAAAATTATAAATTTTGTTATATCAATTTAACTACCCTATGAAAAAAGAAAATGTCCGGACCCCGGAAAATGGAATAGACATTTTCTGGAAAATTATGACGTCTGAATATTGTAATTTCTGGCATTTTCGATGACAATTTTCTGTATTATGTGTTTAAAGATAATTTGAATTGAAGAATTTATTAGCGAGAGCGAATTAATTAAGACATAGTACTATAAAGATAAAGGGAATTATTCCCTGTATATTTAGAATAACATTATATACGTAACAATCGTAACGTGTTTTGTAACTTGTCACGTGATATTCTTATTAACGATGCTGTTAAGCTTTTTTTTACTTTATCCATTTACATTGAATTTTGCGTTCTTAAATATTCTTCCATTTAAAGTTTCCTTTAAAACCTTTTAATGTAAGTTGTTTTTTCCTTTAAAATTTTAATTTAAGTTGCTAAAATAAATTTTCATTAATATATTTATTTATATAGACCAGGATTTCTCCCATATCATATATGTCGAAAATGATAATGAAGCAAATGACCCAGTGATACTAACAATGAACCTGAAATGAAAATGTTTTGCAACTCATAGTATTATGATTCAAGAAATTGTCTTGAAAAGGATGCGAATTCATGTGGCAGGTAGAATATGCATATCCCCTCGTATCAAGAAAATTTTTTCTGAAAAAATATATCGGATATATTAATGATTTTTTCAACAACTATTATTACTTGTTACAATAAGGATATATTGTTTATAAATGGGATTATCATAATAAATATTTATCATACTCCATATAACGACCACGAGAAGGACTATTATATGTAGCATGATTTTCATGACTTAAATATAATCTTCAATTCTATTTTTATTAAAAGAGAGCGCAAAACTATCCTCAGTAGTTCCATAATTCTAATCAGATTTCTATTCAATTGGATTATAACCGCCAAGAATTTCGTCATTATCTTTCAATTATTACAGTGTGGGATTGATTATCACAAATTTCATGAAATATATCTCGTGAATGTCCATCACGAGATGCACGAAATAATAATCTGAATTCTAACCTATCGATTCATTTTCAGATTAATTCAACATGTTGATGAATTATAATATTCGAATCAACAGTTCTTGGTTAATCATATGAGGTTTTAATGTCTTTATATAATTCCTTTGGTAAAATTCTTTTTTAAGGTAATACCTTATCAGTAAACTTTTTAGGTGTGAAATCATAAAATCTAATAAATGAAATGCATTGTTGTAAAGTATTTTTAAAAAGTCGTCCTTTGAATAGTTTGTAAGGTCAGAAGGGAGTTCAGAATTTTTAGCAAGTCCCATCTAAGAACTTTTTCCCAAATTTGAATTTCATTCATCGCTTTGAATAATTGAAACCAAAAGTTTTTCTGAAACTGAAGAAAAATTTGAAGACTTGAATATCTTATCTGATTCCTTTGTAACTAAGCCAGTACAATGTTTTTGAGGATGCAAGAACGAATCATTTTCAAACTCGTTTGATGAATAAAATCATAAAATCAAAATTTTGTTCAATCAAATTTGCTTTGTTTTCGATCAAAAAAAATTGTAAATATGTAAATATGTAACTAATTCTTGAAGATTAAGTTCACTGGTAGCAATTAAGATTCAATTATATCCGAAGTATCATAATCTTTTAAAGAAAGCCTTCCATCATGAATATACCTAAAATAAAAAATAAATAAATATTCATAAATTTAATAAATCATATCATCCATTTTATAATTTTTATATCTTAAAAATAATTTGAAAAATTTCAGGTGAAATATTTGATAATTTGATATGCGTCAAAAGTTTCATCATTCTTCTTCGCAAATAAGGAGAACGATAATATAAAATAATTATATGAGCACGAAAGAACTTTACATAAGGAACATTATCAATTTCAATTATAATATCATATTAAATACTCTTCATTATTTAAAATCCAAGTAAATTTTGCGTTAAATTTGGTAAAAACTTATTGCCATCTATTTTTATAATTATAATTTTAAACGTTAACGAAAAAACAATTAATCCAAATTTGTAATACGGACAAACCTTATATGATTAGTTCTATATTCTGTGCAACAATAAATTTCATTCAAGATAATTAAGAACGAACGTTTGCTGTAAATTTAATTTTTAAATATTTTGATGGGTCGAAGAATACTTTTTTTGCTTTGTGCGGTACGGTCAGTAAATTTTAATTATCATGAGAAAAATTATACGTACAAAAATTAGTGTAGGCGTGTATCTGGTTCATTTGAAATGTATTTAATTGATGTCTATCAAATGGAATAAACCGCTAGCATTACCGACTTATTTATTTATTTATTGAATTCAAATTTTAATAAACTATAAACTATTTCATTACTAGGGTTTCATTCTAACAAATATATCTTATTGTACGAAGTCAAATAATATAAAAAATCATTTTTATTATAAGTTTTCTCTGTTTGACAATAATATAGTATTAATTCATAATATTGTTTCTTCACAATATTTTTCTAAATTTATTATTTATCTGAGTTCCATAGAAAATGTGATCGTGTATCTACGAAATGTGCTTTTATCGCTTGCGTTAAAATTTTACCATTGATATTATAATAAATAAAAACAAATATGTTGTTTAAATTAATATTTAATATATAAGAAGTTGCGGAAATTCGCCTTTTGGCATAGTAATCAATGCAACATAAATCCTATACAATTTGAAATACTTCGCATTCTTCCACTGAAAATCTTTCAGTTTTTCTAATCGGGTATTCATAAAAATTTTTTCTGCAAATATTACCATAAGTATAACTCAATATAGCAAGATCAGTTCCACCAAATGATGGACCGACATAAGAACTATTTAAGATAGCATACCTTTCATCCATTACACGACTTAAAGTATAATCTTCAATTTTATTATTATTAAAAGATAATATAAAACTATCTTTAGTAATCCCATATTTACCATCAGATTTCCATTCAATAGGATTATATCCTCCAAGAATTTCATTACTATCTTTCACTTTAATAATTGTTACTGTGCGTGAATGATTATTACAAATTTCATGAAATTTACCTCGTGTAAGTCCATCACGAGATCCACGAAATAATAATTTAAATTCATATAAAGAAGTTAACTTATCTGTAATATCTAACTTATCAATCCACTTTAAGATTAATTCAGCATGTTGATGTGTTATAATTTTTGAATCAACAGTCCTCAATTTAATTTCTTTACTTATACGAGATTTGATTTCTTAATTGGCTTACTATTAGGATCTGAAAGACTTAGGAACGTTGTTAATAAATCTGTAATTAATTCTTCAGGTAGAATTTCTCCATAGGGAAATACTTTATCTAAAAATTCTTTTGAAGTTAAGTTGTAAAATCTTATAAACGGAATACATTGTTGTAAAGTATTCTTCAAAATATTAAAGTCGTCTTTTGAATAATCTTTAATGTCATCAGGGAAACGCTCTTGATTTTGAGCAAGTCCCCATCTAAGAACTTGTTCCCAAATTTGAATTTCGCTTATTTGAAGGTTGTCATTTTGAATAATTGATATCAAAAGTTTTTCTGAAACTGAAGAGAAATTTGGTGATTTAAATATCTTATCTGGCTCTTTTGTAATTAAGTCAGTACAATATTTTTGAAGATCCAAGAATGAATCATTTTTAAAACTTGTTTGATAAACAGAATCAAAATTTTGTTCAATCCAATTTGCTTTGTTTTCGATAAAAAAGAATTGTAAACATGTAACTAATTCTTGAAGATTAAGTTCACTAGCAGCAATTAGAGTTTTAATTACGTCTGAAGTATCATAATCCCTCAAAGAAAGTTTTCCTCCATAAATATACCTAAAATAAATAAATAAAAAAAAAAATAAATATTCGTAAAATTTAATAAAACCATATCAATCATTTTACAATTTTTATACCTTAAAATAATTTGAAAAATTTCAGGTAAAATATTTGGTAATTTGATATGTGATAAAGTTCCATCATTCTTCTTTTTTTGGTTGATAAAATTCTTTGCAAGTAAGGAGAACGATAATGTAAAATAACCATATGAGCACGAAAGACTTTCACGTAAGGGTCATTACCAACTTCAATTGTAACATCATAATATTCTTCATCATTCAAAATTTCAAGTAAATTTTGCGATAACTTTGGTAAAAGCTTGTTGTCATCCATTTTTATAAAATTCCAAACGTTAACGAAAGAGAAAGAAAAATTAATCACAAATTTGAAAATGGTCAAACCCTATATAGTTAATTAGTTGTTGTGCTCTGTGCAACATTAAATTTAGGTTAGAGTCGCAAAATGTGCGCAGCTCATATTTTTCATGTGACAATTTTTGCGTATTCAATATTTTCCTATTATATTTTTCTGCATTATGAACGCACTTGATCAGATTTAACAAAAGTTAGTAAAATTTTAAAATTTATTAAATTTATTAATTCTTAAACGGTTTCACGCTTATCGCATTTAATACTATGCTAAAAGGCGATTTTCTAAGCACAATAAATACATCGATATAATAACTCAACAAATAATATTGTAATATGCTAACGAAAATTGAACTTATTTTATAAATTCATTATTAATTTAAGTTTTAAAGTTAAAATATAAACTATTATGACAAAAAATTCATTCTCCTAAAAGTTCTCTTAATTTAATTTGAGCATAATGATATCCTTGTTCAGCAGATTTTTTGTACCAATTAATTGCTTGATTTATATTATTAATACCATTACTAACTTCGTACATATAAGCAAGATTGTATTGAGCGAAATAATTTCCTAAATTTGCCGACTTATGAAAGGATTCAAATGCTTTTTTCATATCAATATTAATTCCAATTCCATTTTTATAACAAATTCCTAAATTATTTAAACCATAAGAATTTCCTAAATCTGCCGCCTTTTGATAAAATTTAAATGCTTCATGAACATTAACTTTTATTCCAATTCCATTTTCATAACAACAACCCAAATTATATATTCCATATGAATTTCCTAAATCTGCTGCTTTTCGATATAATTCAAACGCCTTTGTTTTATTAATATCAATTCCAGTTCCAACTTCATAACAACGTCCTAAATTATTTATTCCATTTGAATTTCCTAAATTTGCTGCTTTTTGATACAATTCGAATGCCCTTTTCACTCTAATAACGGTTCCAAACCCATTCTCATAACAATATCCTAACCTATTTATAGCATTTGGATTTCCTCCTGCTGCTAATTTTCTAGATAATTTAAAAGCTTTACCATAATTTTTAAAAACATGAATGCACATATTAGCATATTCTAATTGTGCTACGATATTTTCTAATTTTACGGCTTTTTCATATAATTGATATGCATTACTCTTATTAACATTTATTCCAATTCCATGATAATTAAAATATCCAAGTAAATAAATAGAATTTGAATCATTTTGATTATTTAAAATCCAAGTATAGATTTCTTGTAAATTTATCTTGCAATTATTAATATAATTTAAAATACACTTCTTTCTTTCATTTTCTTCTTTTCCTTTATTTAACTCATTAAAATAAATATTAATCAATTCATCAACCATAATACCTAACTCCTCTTCAAATATAACTTCATGAATATTTTGAATTGTAGGTCCTATTTCCTCTTTATTTATTTCAAAATTTTGCATAATTTGATGATATGATTCTTTATATGATGAATTATTAAGATCGATAATTACTTTTAACTTGGCAACTACTTGGTTCACAGTCGGTCTATTATCAGGTTCATTATTCCAACATTCTACATAAATTTAAAATTAACAAAAAATTATTATATTGATAACATTAATACATAGATTAAAATTAAAATTATATTTACCAGTATAAAGAATTGAATAATTAGAAGGAGTATCTGGAATAATTTTTTCTCTATAGCCTTGTATAATTCGCATGATTAGAACAGCATCATATGATTCATCTTTAAACGGTAGTTGACCACTTGATATCTCCCATAAAATTACTCCAATACTGTAAACATCACTCTTTTTATTTAATGAATATGATTGCATTAAATTGATATTACAATTTAACCATTTTGGGTCAATATAAGGAACTATTTCAAATAAATTTGATTTTTCTTGTTCAGATACTTCTTTGATTCTTTTTGATAATCCAAAATCACTTAATTTGATAGTATTTTGGTGAATTAATATATTACCAGAGTGCTATTTTATTAAATATATATATAAGTAAAATCTTTAAATTATTAGAATTACAAATAATTCAATGAATTAAATTATTAATTACCAAATCCTGATGTACAATTTCTTCATCATGTAGATATGATACAGCATCAACTAACTGATATGCTAATTTGTATTTATCTTCCCATGTAAGCTCGTTAAAATTTTCTTTCAAATAGTTTTGGAGAGAACCACTATCAGCATGTTCCATTATTAATAAATATTCCTTCAATTGATGATCGGTTTGATCTTAGAAAATTTAATTTTATTAATAAAGTAAATATTATAAATATCATTTTTTATAATAATAATTTTCATACCTTTATCAGTAATACCGAAAAATTGAATAATATTTTTATTAAAATCAAATTTATGATGAAGTTCAAACTAGATTTTTTTTTTTTAATTATAAAAATAATAATATATTTTTTAATATTTAAAAATATTTTATTAAATCAATATGATATATATTCATTATTATATATATATATATATATATATGTTTTTTATAATTACCTCATGAATTATTTCTTTAATAATTGCAATATTAAGATTAAATGATTTTAATATAAGATTTTGTCCCGAATTTTTCCATTTTGCACGATAAACTATTCCAAAATCAATTTTGTTTATTTTTTCAATATCTTGAAAATTTTCATATTCATAATATTTTATATACTTCTTAGAAATGACTTCTTCAATCAAATCTTTTGAATTATTAACATCAATGTTTTTTGTCATTGCGCGAATTATTGATTTTAATTGTAACTAGGTAAGAAAAAATAAAAAATTTAACGCCCAACAATATTTATTTAATTTATGGTAGTACATTAATAGAACTCGCAGAAAATAACTAACTAATTACAGTTTAGACTATTGCGGATCATTCTATTGCAGATCATTTCTGCACTCCGCAGTTTTCATCGATTAAAAATAATGATGCCAACCAAATGTAGCTAGTTGTTACAATTGTTAAAAGCTATAATAAAGTATAATCCCAGTAATTGATTTTGATTTTGATTTTTTTTCGTGTGAATAGTAATCTGCACCTGGTCACACCTTTTTGAAAATTTTTTAGGGCGGACTGTAACGCCTTCATTACAAAATTAAGTATAATCTTCATTGTCATCTTATAGTTTTTCTTTTGTTAAAATTCTAGTAAAAATAGGTATTAGTTCAATTTCAATTAAGTTGCTCCTAATAATTGAGATATGGAGATATGGACATTGATATTTGCAATAGCTAAAGGACTGACGTATACGTACAGTGCGTGTTGGATAAATATTAACACTTAATATTTATCCCTGTTCCTTTTTTTATAAGTGTCGACAGAAATTTTATTCCTGAATTTTATAAGTATTTGCGAACTGACAATCACAAAGTTCAAGTCGATCCCAAAATAAAGCTGTCTTGTGTGCGACCATACAATTTGCTCATCTCAAATCTTCGTTATACCACATATTCGGTAAAACCAATGTTCTAATTATATCGAACTTATTAATACAATTTTTATCAAAAATCAAAAAAATTATATTTGTGCTAAGATTATTATATTTATTTTATTTTATTTCAAGAAGAGTAGTAATTGATTTCTATTACATTAACAGCATATGTTCATGAAAGTAAATATAGAGACTATTCAGGTAATTGGAATGTCAAATTTCATTCCATCAAGTAGGACCCACTCTTCGAGCCAAACTGCTATATCACCAGGAGAACTACACTACCGGTAAAATTTAACAAACTAAAAAAAAAAACTTAAAATAATCTACAAAAAAAGAAAAGGACAAACTAATTAAGAGAATATCTATTAAAAGTTCAATGGGTCTATATTAGTAATAAAATAAATCTAAATTATATGAATTGCGAGATCAAGCAAAAGAAGTAGAGGACAAGTCTAAGTCCAATAATGATAGCCAATGTAAGTTATGGTGAAAATTTGATAAATCCAAAGGAAAGAATTGTCAGTAGCACGTCATGAGTCTTTAAACGGGTTGATGTATCCATGAGTAAATATTTCCATTTGAAGATGAGTCATTGGCAGAATTATTTCTATTCTTTGCTTACTGGTATTTCGTAAATGAGATTTTTGTCAGATTCAAAGCTTTTTTTATATTTTTCCATTAGATCGAGCGTACAGACTTGTCAAATATAATCCAACTATTATTATATGGTCGTTGGTAACATACAAAATGGGAATTTTTTTGGTATAATATTTGATACCATTTATGTAAAGGCACATCTAAATATTGTAAATAACAATAAGTATAAATTTTAATGAAGTATAAAATAATAAAAAAGCATTTTATCATTTTTAATTATAGCTAAAAATTTTCTGGCAACATGATTCTAACTATTTACTAAACTTTTTTTGGACTTCTTTTGATATTTTCTCCTAAAGTATACTATATAAGTCTAAATAAAAACTATACAGTCAACTCCCTCTATAGTCACTTCCGTTATAGTCACATTCTACTATATAGTCACACCAGTTGAATGTTCAAAACACTTTATTATTAAAATCTATCCTATATAGTCACAATCTATCTATAGTCACTATCACAC